ATAACCCTAAGTATTGAGGTGGGAACGTCACCTCATGGAGGCTGTGTGTCTAGTTTTCATAAAGCTGGAAAACTGTCATAGTAGTCCTTAAGAAAACCATATAACCTGAGCTCAGCTCTGTGTTAAAAGAACCAGACAGCCATGGGAACATCTGGAATGGGAAGCCTACAGTAGTCAAAATCCGTAAGGAATGGCTCCTTATTACTCACAGAATCATAGAATCCTAGAAATATAGAATCCTTAAGGTTGGAAGGGACATTTAGAGATCACCTAGTCCAACCCTCCCTGCACACGCAGGGTCACCCAGAGCATGGGGTGCAGGATTGCATCCAAGTGGGTTTTGAAGATCTCCAGAGAAGGAGACTCCACAACTGCTCTTGGCAACCTGTTCCAGTGCTCTGTCACCCCCACTGTTAAGAAATTTTTCCTTAAGTTCCTGTGGAACTTTTGGTGCTTCAGTTTGTGGCTGTTTCCTTTGGTCCTATTGCTGGCCACCACTGAAAAGAGGCTGGCCCCATCCTCCTCACTCCCTCCCGCAAGGCAGGAGTATTCAGGTCCCCTCTCAGCCTTCTCTTCTTCAGGCTGAACAGGCCCAGCTCTTTCAGTCTTTCCTCATACGGCAGATATTCTAGGCCCCTGATCATCCTTGTAGCCCTGCGCTCGACTCTCTCCAGTAGCTCCGCACCCCTCTTGTACTGGGAAGCCCAGAACTTGACACAATATTCCAGATGTGGCCTCACCAGGGCTGAGTAGAGGGGCAGGATCACCTCTCTCGACCTGCTAGCTGCTCTCCAGAAGGTCAGTCCCCAGCCTGTACTGGTGTCTGCAGTTATTCCTCCCAGGTGCAAGACCTTGCACTAACCCTTGTTGAATTTCATAACATTTCTCACCACCCAGTTGTCCATCCTGTCTCTCCAGGTCCCTCTGGATGGCAGCGCAGCCCTCTGTGGTATCAGTTACTCCTCCCAGTCTCGTATCATCAGCAAACTTGCTGAGGGAGCACTCTGTGCCTTCATCCAGATCACTGATGAATAAATTGAACAGGACTGGACCAAGGACTGACCTGTGGGGGACACTGCTAGCTACAGGCCTCCAACTAGGCTCTGCACCGCTGATCACCACCTGCTGGTCTCTGCCATCCAGCTAGTTCTTAATCCACGTAGATGAGTCCACTCATCTATCCCACACTTCCGGAGCTTGCCCAGGAGGTTACTGGGAGGGACAGTGTCAAAAGTCTTGCTGAAATCCAGATATATGACATCCACAGTTCTCCCCTCATCTATCCAGCTGGTCATTCCATCATAGAAGGCTATCGGATTAGTCAAGCACGATTTCCCCTTGGTGAATCCATGCTGACTACTCTTGAGCACCTTCTTGTCCTCCACATGTTTGGAGACAACAGCCAAGATGAGCTTTTCCATGACTTTTCCAAGGATGGAGGTGAGACTCACTGGCCTGTAGTTGCCTGGGTCCTCCTTCTTGCCGTTTTTGAAGACCGGTGTGACACTGGATTTCTTCCAGTCTTCTGGCACCTCCCCAGTTCTCCAGGACCTTTTGAAGATGATGGAGAGCGGCTTAGCAATAACATCTGCCAGCTCCCGCAGCGCTCTTGGGTGCACCCCATCAGGGCCCATGGATTTGTGGATGTCAGGTTTCTCCATGCGCTCTCTGACCCAATCTTCCTCTACTCAGGGCAAGTCTTCCTCTCTCCAGGCACCTTCTCTGGTTTCTAGGGTCTGGGATTCCAGAGGGCTGCCCTTGGTAAACATTGAAGCAAAGAAGGCATTCAGTAGCTTTGGTTTTTCCATGTCTTTCGTAACCAGGGCACCCACGCCATTCACAGGCCCACATTTTGCCTAATCTTCCTTTTACCATTGATATATTTGAAAAAGCTCTTTTTGTTATTTTTAACATCCCTTGCCAGATTTAATTCCAATTATGCCTTAGCCTTCCTTGTCACATCCCTGCATTCCCTGACAACATTCCTATATTCCTCCCAAGGAGCCTGTCCTTTTTTCCACTTTCTGCATAGTGCCTTTTTCTGTTTGAGTTTTGCCAGCAGCTCCTTGCTCATTGTTGCAGGCCTTCTGCCCCTCCTGCCTGACTTCTTACACACAGGGATGCAGTGCTCCTGAGCATGGAGGAAGTGCGGCCCTGCTTCCTCCTTGTTGGGTCTTAAACTCAACCACCTTCACATCTCCAGCAAGTCCCTTTCTATTTGTTAGTATGAGGTCCAGTAGCCCACCTCTTCTCGTTGGCTCCTCCACAGTCTGTGTTAAAAAGCTATCATTAACGCACTACAGAAACCTACAGGACTGTGTGTGCCTGGCTGAGTTGTCTTTCCAGTTGATGTCAGGTTGGTTGAACTGGAGGACTGGAGATTACTTATTGGTCAACCTTTGGAAACAGGAAAAGGTATGTGTGCCATTACATATGATAGAGAGAGTAGAGTAATCTTACTTTATCTCATGTTCTTGGTTATGTGTTTTGCAGGAACAAGTTCTGCATTTTTTAATAGGTATATGTTGATGTCAATAACATCATATAAGCTTAACATATAAACTAGTCAGCTTGATGTTTTATAATCTGGTTCCCAGAGCAAGAGGGAAAAGTTTACTGAATACATGTACACATTGTTACAATCTCAGTATCTATTGCCTGGGACTAAGGGTAGAGTTTATAATGTATCTGTGTAGGATTGTGATGATGTTAAGAGTTTATAATCTATGAAAATTTGATGGAATGTATTGGGCATAAATAGCAGGGTTTCAGCAGCTGCGGGCTGCAAGAATGAACTGTGTGGCAGGCACTTCGAGTGCCATGTGCCTCTCTCAGTCTATTCCACCTGGCTCTGAAACTGGGTAAACACTTCCACTGTGTGTGCCAAAACTTCAGCCAGAGGACCACATGGCACATCTGATCTTATTTAAATAAATATGCCCATAACTGTGGGAGGTCATCATCACTGTTTTAAGTCAGTGTGGATGCAGGTGAAAGCTGGCTATCCAGAGGATATCACTGCACGATTTTTTATTTTATGAGCTTGTGGGTTTTTGAGTGATTTTCTCTAGCACTTTCTCACTCAATGTAAGGATAGGACTGTTAGCAGGCTCTGTATTTCTCTCTTCTTCACAATCAAATTCCTAACAGAATCATACCCTTTGAATTACATTTTTGTGTGTGTCAGACTCTTTGAATTACATTTTTTGTCTTCTTTTCTAGAGTTCCTGGCTCTAAGGCTGGTGAATGGAGGTGACTGTGCTGGGCGGCTAGAAGTTTTCTACAATGGGACATGGGGAAGCATTTGCTCCAATCGGATGTCTCAACTCACTGCCATAACTGTATGCAGACACCTGAACTGTGGAGATGGTGGAGAAATTGCAGGAGACTTCCAGTATGGCAGAGGTTCTGGGCCCACATGGCTAGACCACATTGAGTGCACTGAGCAGCATAGCTTGCTCTGGCAATGTCAGTCAGACCCCTGGCATCCTCAGTCATGTGATAATCGAGCAGAAGAGACACATATTTCTTGCACTGGTAATTACAAATGGATCTCCCCCACCCCAGACATACACATAAGCATGGACATGTATATGTACTTACCTTACATTTGTTTTCCAGTATAGATTAGTTTTATTTTTTCACAAAAATGGCACAAACATTTTTCTTTCTTGGCATTCTTGATACAAATGAGTGAATTACAAAAGAAATGAGATTTGCCCAGTGCATTTATCTAGTGGAAATCACAGGCATCATTGCACGTTTTTATAGTAAAATCTATGAAATGCAAATAGTCTGTGAGAACTGAGATAGGATCATACTTCTTAAGGAGTCTAGATGCATTTATATTTGTGTACATCTGTGTAGGCATATGGGTACACATGTATATAGCCATATGCAAGTGCATGAATCAGTTCAGCTCTAAAGGTCCATTTCTGGTGCCTGGTCTTATCATAGTAATCCTTATCTGTGGGATAACAGAAATTAGTTTGAAATGATATTCAGACCTCTTGAATATTTTCTTCACTAGAAAGAAAGAAAGCATAGCCATCAGGGAACTTCAGGAAGATTATTTAATTCAGAGCAGCAGATAAATACAGATCCACCGAGTACTAAAACAGGTCATATATATATATGGTCATATACACATATATGGTCATATATATATATATATAGGTCATATATATATATATATAGGTCATATATATAGGTATATATATAGGTGTGTGTATATATATATATATATATATATCTGTTACTGGAAAAATTAAATTTGTAATTAATATTGAAGCAATTTCTACTCTGTTGTTCTTTCCAAAGAGTAATCAAACCATTTACTTCAGTATTTAATTTCTGTAGGAAGAAAAAGGGTAGTGACTCCATCTGTATTTGTTGAGTGTCCAAACTCAAACTCAAGTTGTACAGGTACGCTTGTGTCACTACTTCTTTATTTTAATTTTTTGGTCCCTCTGGACCTTCCTGCTGTTCAAGTCATATAGGAAGTTTCTGTTTTTTTGCAGAAAAGGAGAAGTTACGTGTTACAGGAGGAGAGGATGGATGCTCAGGCAGAGTGGAGATTTGGCACCAAGGTTCCTGGGGAACAATCTGTGATGATTCCTGGGACATGGCAGATGCTGATGTTGTATGCAGACAGCTGGGTTGTGGATCTGCTGTGTCTGCTTTGAGTGAAGCTGCTTTTGGGAAAGGGACTGGTCCCATCTGGTTGGAAAAAGTGCACTGCAAAGGGACAGAGCTGTCTCTTTGGGACTGTCCTACCCAGTTCTTATCCAACAAGAACTGTGATCATAAGGAAGATGCTGCAGTGGATTGTTCTGGTTAGTGACTGATCCTTTAGTTCATTATACAAAGCTAAGAAGTAGGTGGATAGAGGAATGTATTGTCAGCTGTATATCCAAATGACTAGCCCTATCACTATCCTGACAGAAAGAATCTCACAGATGATGTGAAGGTATTCTCCCCTTTTTTCCAGTTACCTCTTCCTTAATCTAGACTTTACTTTCTTTTGCAGGTTTGACAGAAAAAACACCACCACCTACTAGAGCAGGTGAAATATTCCCTCTTTCCCCTTTCTTTCCCCTGTCAAATAAGGGTTTAATGTCCAGATAGTACATAGCATGGAAGTCAACAGTACACTCCAATTCTCTGGGAGAATTTCCCAGAGTAAAGGAGGGCTGAGTGGCACTACCTCCAGCTGCTTTAGTCTAGCTTCTTTAAGCTACAATGGGCAGCAGGTAACCTACCGCTGACACATTCATCACCCTTCTAGTGTGGGCACAGCAGGAGGCTACAGAAGAGCAGACCTTTGGGCCATCAGATTCTTTAACTCTTCCTTGTTCATCTCCATTCAGATCGTCCCCGTCAACCTGCAAAACAGAGTGAGAGAGTCACGACTCCTGTCATCCTCTGCATTATCCTGGGGTCCCTTCTCTGCCTGGTCCTTGCCATTCTCTGCAGACAGTTCCAGACTGCCAGGGCACAGCAGAGAGGTTTGTGCCTCCTTGAAGTGGCTGGGTCTTTGAATGGCTAGTGAAGTTGGGGGAGGAGATGAGGTGAGTATCAGCTACAACCCTGCTGAGGCTTTCCTCACTTTTTGATATGGGAAGAACCCCATGGTGCAATTGGGAACTTGCAGTACCAAGAGGAGCACTTGGAGACTTCGGCTCTGCCTTATTCAGTCCATATTCTACAGTGCTGACAACTCTGAGGAGAGGAACCGAGAGCAGGAGACCGGAGGTTTCACATGAGAGTGGAAAAGGACACCAGTGAAGAGAAACAATTTTAAAGTTAGAAAGTGGGAATGAATGATACCAGGGTGTGCAACCACCTGACTAACAGCTGGCTTTCATTTTAGGGTATATAATTGGTGTAGCAACTAGAAAATGCACTGCTAACACAATTGTTAAATTTCTAGTTGTAGCACTGAATTAATATTGAACAAATTCAAATGATTTGTAAATCAAACTGCTCACCCGCCCAATAACTACCATCTCCTTGTCAGGGGAGTTTTTTCCAAGCCTGTTCTGTCAGTACCTCTCTGCGACTTTGTAGATTGTAACCTGGCCACATAGGCCCCTTTGGGCCACTCCCTTTCATCACCTCAGCCTGGGGATGAACAAAGCCTGTGTGAGAATGGTAACAAACTTTTACTTTTAGGCTCCAGACAATCCTTTGACCCCTTCTCAGAGGCCGTCTATGAAGAAATCAATTATAACCTGATGAAGGAGAAGCAACAGATAACTGCCCTTTCAGGTCTGTGCATCTTGTTCTTCTCAGGGGAACCCACACAAGCTATTTCTTTCTGGTGATCCAGATGCCTGTCTGAAACTTTGTAGGTCCCAGGCCTACAAGGTAACTGAACAGTTTGCAAATTTGAGGAGAGCAGTTTTCTGTCCACTCAACTCTGCAAACTTCACTCCTGAGGATAATTCATTTTATGGTATCTACCTACGCTACAGCCACAGAGTATAGATCAGTATGGGTCAAGAAAAAATGCTTTCGCTGCGATTCAGGATAAGCAGTCATTTAAAATGGGAATAAATAAAGAAGTAATCTCTGTCTCTGTCACAGCAGGAACATGTTTCTGCAGGATTACTCCTGTTAACTGCTTCTCCCATGATCCAGTACTTGTGTTATGGGGCTTCTGAAGCATTTCCAGGTATTCCAGTGTTAGGTCTATTAGCAGCAATACTGACCACTCAAGCATGTATTTTTCTTCCAAGCAAGCACCTGACTACTTTGATATCTCCTCTGTGTCCATCACAATTTGCCACACGTGCTAGCAATCTAGACATCTATAATCCATTAAACCAGTCACATTGATATTGCTAGCCTTGGATAGCCTACTCTTTCTCTCATGATACAATATTATCAGTTCAGAAAGATTTACTTTGATATCACACTGTTTCTTATCTGCCTATACTCCTATTCAGAGGGTTCACCAACAAAAGCAGAGTTTTACAGTGGGAACAGCAACGAAAATGGTTCTGGAGTAACACAAGATAATGGAATATGGACTGGCCCTAAAAAGAAAGAGATCCAAGTATCCATGTACTTTTTAATCTGCAAAACACTATCAATGATTGAATTCTTTTCACTGCATGTTATGCCCACTGGTGATGTTAGGTAGAGTACTGCTGAAATTTCTGTTTAAGTCTTGTGGTCAAAGTGTCATATAATCTCATATACAATTCTTTTCTAAAGAAGTGAAAAATAAATGTTTGCTGGTAGAATTGCAGTCTTCACAGGATCCAGCCACGCAAATCCAACAAAACTGTGGCTGTAACCTGTTGCTCCCTTTCTGAGATACACGGTGAAAATCAAGACTGAGAAAAAACATGCTCAGAATAAGAACATGAGCATACCATTGGAGTTGATTAGGTAGTTTTCACTTGAATAATCTAATGTAAAATGCAGTTTGCCAGATGTTTATTTTCATGTGGAAAAAAAAAGGGGGGGGGAGAGTGATGGTTTGGAAAACAATTACAGTTTTCTTAGAACTGATCAGATTATTGCCTACTCTGAATGAACCCAATTTCCAAATGCACAGTAGTTTTTCTGCATATCGCTAAAACTCTGCTGCACTGTCTTCAATTATATTTTCTACTGTTTTTATTTTTTTAAGGATTTTTAAAAAATTACTGTTTTTAGTATGCAAAATTAAACTAAAGTTTTTTTTTAAAACTTGCTATTCCAAATAATTTTCTTATTAATATTCTATATTGAGTATGGGTACCAAGTGAAATAAGAGTTTTTTGAATAACTTCTAATTTTATGTGTGCATGCTGATGTATATAACCCTTAAACAGATAAAGATTCCCTAACAAATGTCAGGTAACTATGAACCACAGAGTAAACACACCTTGAGGAATCAAAGAGATGACTACTTGTCAGCCTAGACTTTATCTTTCAGAACAATTTTAAGAATAAACTGTTTGGAATTATGCTGAGCAAACTCTTCTGATTTTTCTCCTCTGCTACCCTGAGATTTCTACATCTTAACAAGAGCAGTTTGCTTTTATATTGTTGGGAACATTCCTAGTTTCCTCCAGTCCTGGCCACTCAAGTGCCTTCAGAGTACACTTTCATCTGGCTCTATTCAGATCTTCCTGGTCTTTGGCTCCAAGATCTTTCTGGTAGATTGAGCATCCTGGGGAAATCTCTGTAAGAACAGGCTTCTGTTTGTAGCAGCTTTCCTTTATTAACATATGTGGTTGGTTTCACTGATTCTCTCTTCTAGAGGCAGTGGAGAGAGATGGGAAAAAACGCAGATATTTTTCCCCAAAGGTTTGGCCAAAGCTTGTGACCACATGTTTACAAACAGGAGGCCAGGGCAGCAGCTTATACCATTGCAGTAAAATTTAGAAGATGGTAAAGTAATGAAAAGACTAGGAAGTGGGTGTTGCACAAAGATAATCATATCTTCTTCCTTCTCCTTCTGTTCATCCTCTGTGCTTGGTTTATGCTTTCTACATGCTACAGAAACGTATAACAATTATTGGAGATATATCATTGTAGTTTGGAATTGCTTTGAGTCAGCAGGGGGATTCTTGGTTTCCTATCATTCTGATTGTGTCAGAACTATCAGTATTTATCTCTCAATTATTAGTTACTGCTCTCATTAGGGGAAGATCTCTTCCCATTAAGATTAATGCCTGTAACTGTTCCAGAAGTCCTTTCACTGCCTGGAAATACTCTGGAAGATAATTATGATGATGTGACAGAAGCTCCTGAACCAAAAGATGATCCTCTTTCTGAGAAGAATGATCAGGAAATCATTGTGGTCATTGAAGAAAGTCATGGAAATGGGGATTCACAGACTGGTGAGGATAAAAGAGCAGTGCTGCTATTGATTTCACAATAGATCTACATGGCTGTATTGACAATCTCTGTTGTTCACAAAGAGCTTTGTAATACTTAAGGCAGTAAAGCATGGGATGTGTTGAAGTACAGTAAGGCAGTTAAACATGAGGGATAACCTTTATTAGAAATGTTCAAAGTTAGATCAGTAACCTCTTTTCTGGGAACAGATGTTGGGGTATGTGTGTATGCAAGGGGAAACAGGATGAGACAATGGATTTTCTCCCCCTGTACTTGATGTTGGTGAGGCCGCACCGCAAATAAATACTGTATTCTGTTTTGGGCCCCTCACTACAGGAAAGGCATGAAGTTGTGGAGCGTGTCCAAAGAAGGACAACGAAGCTGGTGAAGGGTCTGCAGCACAGACCGTATGAGGAGTAGCTGAGAGAGCTGGGGTTATTTAGTCTGGAAAAGAGGAGGCTCAGGGGAGACCTTATTGCTCTCTACAACTACCAGAAAGGAGGTTGTAGTGAGGGGGGAGTTGGTCTCTTTTCCAAAATAGCTGCCAACAAGACAAGAGGAAATGGCCTCAAGTTGCGCCTGGAGAGGTTCAGGTTAGATATTAGGAAAAATTTTTACACAGAAAAAGTGAAGCATTAGAACAGGCTGCCCAGGGAAGTGGTGGAGTCAACATCCCTGGAAGTGTTCAAGAAATGCATAGATGAGGCACTTACTTAGAAACATGACCTAGCAGGTATGATGGCGATGGGTTTATAGTTGGACTTGAGGATCTTGAAGGTCTTTTCCAACCATAATTATTTTATGGCTTTCAGCTCTTTCACAGCCATGTATATAATTAGGGCTTGACCAGCTGGAAAGCAGCTCCGTGGAGAGGGATTTCGCAGTCCTGGTTGACAACAAGTTAACCATGAGGCAGCAATGTGTCCTTGTGGCCAAGAAGGCCAATGGGATCCTAACCTGTATCAGGAGGAGTGTTGCCAGCAGGCAGAGGGAGGTGATCTTGCCCCTCTCCTCAGCTCTGGTGAGGCTGCACATGGAGTACTGGGTGCCGTTCTGGGCTCCCCAGTACAAGGACATTGAGCTTCTAGAGAGGGTCGAGTGTAGAGCAACAAAAATGATTAAAGGACTGGAGGATCCCTCATATGAGGACAGACTAAGTGAGCTGGGCCTGTTTAGTCTGGAGAAGAGAAGACTGAGAGGAGATTTGATCAATGTGTTCAAGTATCTGAGTGGTGAATGTAGGGAGGATGGGGCCAGGCTCTTCTCTGTGGTGGCCAGTGACAGGACAAGGGGTAACAGGTGCAAATTGAAACATAGGAAGTTTAATCTCCATATGAAGAAGAACTTTTTGCTGTGAGGTTGACAGAGCCCTGGAACAGGCTGCCCAGAGAGGTTGTGGAGTCTCCTTCTCTGGTGATCTTCAAAACCTGCCTGGATGCCACCCTGTGCCATGTGCTCTAGGTGTCCCTGCTTGAGCAGGGGGGTTGGACTAGATGATCTCTAGAGGTCCCTTCCAACCTTAACCATTCTTAACCATTCTAGAACTATATCTATAGTTCTCACATTAGCAGAAGACAATTGATAGCTCCTACTACCAGTTGCACAACTGTAAATGAAACAGATACAGAATGTGCATTTATCTCTGTGTCCTTCCCTTTATGCTTTCAGTTTGGAATCCTAATGAACCAGGAAACAGGACCTCTGAGACTGAGAGAAAGGATTCATTCCCTCATCTTGAAGATATATCTTATGATGACATTGAAGAGCTGGGACACTGACAAAGAATTCTAGACAATACTGACCTCTATTTGGAATAGATCTCTGTCTATAAAATGCTACCCAGGTACTAGCAGAAACAGAGAAACCTTCACTTAGTATTAGTTTACCTACTTCTTTTCTCTGGGAGAGGTATTTATATATATATATATAAATATTTAGAAGAAACACAAGTCTGACTATTTAGAAAATATGTCTTATTTCCCTTCTAATTTCATAATGTCAATTCTGCCTGAACATTTTCTGTTTTTTATTTTTATATATTTTCATTGCTAGTTTTTCCAACTGAGTTATTACTTAACTGAAAAAAAATCATCAAAGTTACATTTCTTCTTCTGAATATTGTTGTTTGCCACATAGAATGTGATAGCTTGAATTAATATTCTAGATAGTGTCTTGTGAGAGAACAAGTTCAGCAAAAGTATTCTTGTCCTCACTTTAAATATAAGGGTATCATTGGAATTACATAACAGGTGAATCACATATTTGATTGGAGTGAAAAGGCATGAAGGCAAAATGAAAAGCCCACATCCTGGTTCCTAATGAAATTTGCCTCAGATCTCGAAACAAAGAGACTCCCCCGCAATGTTAGCTCCCTTGTCCTCCATTTATCCCTCAAAATCTCCACCCTACCCTTCCACTTCCTTAACAAAACTCCTTATTTAAGACTGTGAGCTAATGTAATTTTATGTACCTCATCCAGCTCACATAATTGTCTTAAGGAGAAGGGCTGAAACTTCAACAAGGATCTGATATATATTTTGGGAGCCAAGTAGACTGATCAGAGATTTTCATGGAAGTTCAAGCTGCTGAATATTTGTCTAGCATATCGCAGCATAAAGATGTGTCAAGGAGCAATACTTGCAAGATGCACAATAACCTAGATAAGACTCTCATTTATATTTAAAAACATAAGTTGTTCTATTTATCATAATACAGAAAGAAAGGTGACTTCACTCCAAACAGCAGGGAAAAAAAAAAAAAAAAAGAGAGAGAGACAGGCAAATCCTCTCTGAAAGGAACTCTCTTAACTTCAAAAGCATTACAACATTTGAAAATCTTGTACCAAGGACTAAGGCAAAAGAGGTGGTACTGGGATGAACTAAATACTGCTTTCTATTAATGAGTAGCCTGGCAAACCTACGCTTCTCTGTATGTACTCATGGAACAAAGGATGGAGCTCCCCCGTGAAATATTGTGAAAGTGCAGGAGTGCATGTTATTCTGTAATGTATGGGATGTTTTGACATGTCTGACGTTATCCTTTCTGAGCTAGGCTAGAAGTAGTTAAGACAAAATTCAAAAAGAAAAGCAAGTCTGGTAGAGACAAGGCATTTTGTTAGACTCTGACCTAACAAATAAAGGCAATTTCTAAAGATCTGGGGCTCTCCTAGAGTTCCTTAAAGATTCTGCACCTGAGGAAAGACAGCAGTATTTTACGTTTTGTTTTGTTCTGTTTTCCCAGGATGGGGGGATTCTTTTGCTGTATATATATATTTTTGAGCACTTCTTTTGTTCCTTGATTGAAGAGTAGTCCTATAAAGGCATACCTTAGAGATATTGCAGTTTCGAATCCAATAAAGCAAATACAACACCATAATAAAGCAAATACAACACCACAATAAAGCAAATACATCAATAAAGCAAGTCACACAAATTTTTTGGTTTCCCAGTGCATACAGAAGTTCTGTTTACACTATCTTGTGGTCTATTAAGTATGCAATAGCGTTATGTCTAAAAAGAATATATAGCTTAATTAAAAACACTTTATTGCTAAAAATTGCTAACCATCATCTGAGCCTTCAGTGAGTCATAATCTTTTTGCTGATGGAGGGTCTTGCCTCAATATTGATGGCTGTTGACTGATCAGAGTGGAGGTTGCGGAAGGTTCGAGCGACTGTGGAAATTTCTTAAAATAAGACTGCAATGAAGTTTGCAACATTGATAGACTCTTTTGCTCACAAGGTATTTTCTCTGTAACATGTGATGCTGTTTGGTAGCATTTTACCTACAACGGAACTTCTTTCAAAATTACAGTCAATTCTCTCAAATTCTGCCACTGCTTTATCAACTAAGTTTATATAATATTCTAAATCCTGTAATTTCAACAGCATTCATGACATCTTCACCAGGAGTAGACTCCAACTCAAGCAACGTCTTTGCTCATTCATAAAATGCAACTCCACATCCACTCAAGTTTTATCATGTGATTACAGCAATTCAGTGACATCTTCAAGCTCCACATCTAATTCCAGTTCTTTTGCTGTTTGCACAGTATCTGCAGTTACTTCCTCCACTGAAGTCTTGAACCTCTTACTGTCATCCATGAGGGCTAAAACCAACTTTTTCCAAATTCCTGTTAATGTTGATAATTAACATTATCAACATTAACATGTTAATTAACATGTTAACATGTTTATGTCCTTCTTCCACAAATGTTCTTAATGAACTCTGGAATGGTGAATCCTTTCCGAAAGGTTTTCAATTTTCTTTGCCCAGATCCATCAGAGGAGTCATTATCTACAGCATCTATAGCCTTACAAAAATGTATTTCTTAAATACTCATTTCGCTTATAGAGCACATGCCGAATAGATTTAGCATAATTATTATGGGCTTTAAGATTTTCAAAATGGTAAATGAGCATTGGCTTTAGTTTAAAGTCACCAGCTTCATTGGCCCCTCACAAGTCAGCCTGTCCTTTGAAGTTTGAAACTCTTCAAAATGCTCTTCAAAAGCACTGACTTCTTTCTAGCTATGAAAGTCCTAGATGGCATCTACTTTCAATATAAGGCTGTTATGGCTACATTCAAAATCTAGTGTAGCTACCTTCATCATTTGTCTTTCGGATAACTTGCAGCAGCTTCTGCATCAGCACTTCCTGTTTCACTTTGCATTTTATGTTATGGAGAAAGCTACTTTCCTTAGCCTCATGCACCAATCTCTGCTACATTCAACCTTATCTTCTACAGCTTCCTCACCTCTCTCAGCCATCACAGAATTGAAGATAGTGTCTTGCTCTTAAGAAAATGTGCATGTTATAGGCCAGACTATGAAGCCATTCAAACAACATTTCTAATAATTGAGATTACTGTTCTGCCTAAATCAAAATTCAGTTGTGATGACAGGATTATTATCTGCATGTATTCTTTTTCACTCTAAATTCAAAAAGAACAAGATGTAAAGAGAAAATAAACACTATACTGGGACTCATCAGTAGATTGCTTTTTCTCATAATTCTCAAAGTATTCATATTACTCAAAATAACAGTATTTGTCATTTAGAAGCATCTTTCTCTATATAAGAACTGATATTTCCATACATATGTCTTGCTTCTAAAGCCACAAGACTTAGCATACTAACAGGTGAAATGATTTTTAATAGAATATTTGTTAGCCCTAAAACTTCCACATAAATGCAGTCATCTAGACCATGCCTACCTTGGCTCCATGACAGGGCTTCTCAGGGATATCATACAACAAATAATAAATCTAAAGACATACACATTTTTTTTCATATTTCCCTCTCTCTGTGTGCATTTCATTTCTTTATCTTGCTTTTCACTATTGACTGTTGTCAGAGATAATTTGAAAATAGTTCCTTTATAGGATCTGCTGATGCAGAAGCTTTAAATTTTTGTCTCTTTCTTCCATCGCTAATATATAATATTTTTAAATTTAACTTTATGTTGTTATATGTGCTCTGTTTGGCATGTTATAATTGGCAAGGTAAATTTGGGTAGAAGGTGGGAAACACTTCCATACAAACTCATGCCTGGCTTCTTTCTTAAATTCACCTTCACATTTAACACACTAATGCAGTTCACATGACATTTTTTTAAACCATTTCAGAGAAAGCATCAAAATGCAAACATGGAGAACCAAATTCTGTGACAGAAATCCTTCTCCTGGGTCACAGTGCTCAAAAATGCAGCTTCTACAGTTTGGGATGTTTACTGCGATCTACATCCTTGCAGTGGTGGGAAATAGGATCACACTGACACTGACCTGGCTGAATTGCCAGCTCCACACTGTTATATACTTCTTGAGACACTTCTCATTTGTAGACATCTGCTACCTATCCAGCAGTGTCCCTCAAATGCTGGCCAACCTCTTGAATCCCACGAGAATTACTTCTTTTGATGACTGTGTTTTTCAGATAAACCTCTTTCTGGCCTTAGGCCTCACTGAATTTGCTTTATTAGTAGTCATGGCATATGATCAGTATGTAGCAATATGTCATCCACAGTCCTGCACACTGATCACGAGCCATAGAATTTGCAAAGGGTCAGCTGCAGCAGCTCGGATATGTGTGTTTCTTCTTGCCATGATCCATGGCATTCAGACCTTGCAGATGCCATTCTGTGACCTAGATGTGATTAAGCACTTCTACTGTGATATCCTGGCACTAAAATTCATTTGTGCTGACACTCAGATGAAAGAAAGCACTGTGTTTGTTATTGGCATTGTTGTTGTTCTTAGCACTTTTTGCTTGATCCTGATCTCCTACGTCGAAGTTGTTGGGGCCATCTCAAAGATTCACACTGCTGTGGAACAGCTCAAAGGATTTTCAACCTATGCCTCACACCTTACAGTGGTCTTACTGTTTCATAACAGTGTCATGAGACCTGGGTCTAGCTGTTCACAAGATCAGCACAAGATGGTCTCTCCTGCACAGAGTCATCACCGCTTTGTTCAATCCCATCACTGTGAAAATGGTACTTAAAAGTCAGATCTGTCATACAATACAGATTTCCTGATTTTTTAACTGAATTGTGGGTGCTAGACACCAGACAAAATAGACAAGTGTTTTGCTACTAAGTACAACTTAATTTACATTTTGTGCTTTTCACTTTTAACCTTTTTTTCTTTCAAATCTTAATGCCTATTCCAAAGCAGAACTTTGTTTTGTTAAAAAACTACCTGATATTTAGGATAAGATTACTTGGATTGAAGCCAATGGATTGAGAATGTTTTTGTGAGGGTAGTATATCAGGGTAAAGCATACAGCACAAGCCATCTACAAGCACCTATGCTCAAGAAGCCTTGGGATCTGAAGGATATATACTGCCAACCTTCAGGGAGGCAGTAACTGCACTGGAAAACTCAAAATCTAAGAGGGAGGAAGTAATATGGAAATTTGGAAGAAATATGCCCATGAGTACAGGCAGAACGGGAAGCCCTGCACAGCAAGCAGGAACTCATCCTGTATCTGGCACTGCTTCGGAGAATATTGAGATGAAGCTAGCCTCCTGAAAATGTGTATTTCCAGAGGTCATGATGAGCATGTCAGATGAGCATGTCATGAGGCATGGCCAGAACTGACATCTCCTTCTCCCTTTTTTTTTTTTTTTGGAGAGAACAGATCTTCATCTCCCAGAAAACATGCTCACCAATGGCCACTGCAAACTCCACCTCATCTTCAGAAAGGTGGTGGAGAAGAAAGGGAAAGGAGGACTAATGTCTATCTTGAATGTCTATCTTGGGGACAGGTTCCAGGACAGAGGGGAAACTTTCCTCCCAATAATTAAATGATAGCACTAATTTCTAATACTAGTAGTAAAAGGAGCTTTTAATCTATTTAATGCAATACAGTAACTTTACTGAGTTTGTTCTTAGGAATTTAAAAGAAAGTAGAGAAAATGCGTGCTTTCCCCCCTCCTCTCCCCACTTTTACCCTCCATACATGGACTTGCAAACTGAACAACCCAAGAGCCCATTTTCTGTTCATATTGAAGCTCCCCTTGCAAGAGGACTTTTTAATATTCTTTTCCATGTGTTAATTTTCCTTTTATGCAGAAAATCTCGCTGTCAAGAACTGAATGTCCAAAAAGGAGACAGAAGAGACATAAAACTTTATTTGAATAAAGGGAGAGTCCACTGGCCATATCTCTGTGGGGTCTCTCAAATTGCTGGGGGACGCAGCCCCCCTTTTATCCTAATTTCCCAACCGAGAGACGCCCTCTCCTTTTCCCCATTGGCCAAGGTACTTGGAAGTTACAGCCTTCCCGGCCTGGCTACACCTCCTGCCATCTGTTCTCACCTGAGGTCACCTGACTCCTTTGTCCCCCTTGCTAAAGAATGTGGGGGAATTCCCTTATTTCCCTCCTTTGTAAAGGCCTCCAACTCTTGGCATCTGCTCTTTTGTCCCACTCACTCGTGGCTCCGCTCAGTCTCCCCCCTCCCTTTGTCCTGCTCTTCAGCCAGACTCTGGGGGAATCCCCTTACTGGTGAATACACAAACTTGAGCATTCCGCTCACTTTTAAAATGTTGATCTCACTTACAATATACTTGATCCTTTTTATAAAGTCCTTCTGCATGAGAATAGCAGCAGTTTGATTCCGAAATTACTGAAAATTTTTAGGAAGTAATAATATCTCTTTTCTGACACAGACTTTATTTGCTTTTTTATTTTTTAAAAACCTTCTGTGTTATTAATAAGAGGAAGTCACTTTCAAGAAGTTCCTGTTTTTAGTTTTGCATAAAAGGAAAATCACACTGCCCCTTTCCACCTTTGTGAATAACTAGGATTGGCTGGCTTCTGGAATCATTTAAGTACAAGGAGAAATAGAGGACAAGTATATCTAGATGAGATGTTTATTTTCAAAAGCATTATTAGACATGTTCTTTTCCAGAAGACAACAGAAACAAGAAAAGAGCAAGTTATTTCCACATCCATGAACATAAGCACATCCATTTAAATCTCATGCCTCTGTCCAAGTTCCCTGTTTCAGCCTTTTGGACCCTGTCCTCTCCTGTTGCGTGTTTCATGCCTAATACACTAGAATAATCCTTAACAAAGATTCACATCTGCTGAGTGGTTCAAGATGTGTTTGCAAAGGGTCTGCCAGAAGGGATACTCTGAACTAACTCCACAGAACGAGCACGGGGAAAGGACAACATTTTCAGAGAAACACTGCCAACGCTCAGAAAGAAAATCTGAGGATAAAAAGAACGATGCAGAGGGCAGACATGAAATTCCAATTCCCTGCAGCAAGCCTTCTAAGGAGAGAGGAGAACAGGCTTCTGGGGCACAGGACATGCAACGCCTTTATTAATAACCACCACTACAGCAGAACGCTCTGAACACGCACCAGCGGGAGCACACGGAGCCCTGCTCGGGAGCTGCTGAAGCGAGTAGTGTGCTGGCAGAGCCCTGGCTTAACGACGACCTCCTTTCCTCGGAGCCCCCAGAGCTGTATTCCCCACAAAATAACCCTCTTTCCCACCAAGGAAGGGAGGGAGGGCCGGGGCCGAGCCCGGGCGGGGCTCGCCGCCTGGCGGCAGCGGGGCCTCCGGCGGCGCGGGGAGGCGGTGCGCGCTCTT